ACTCAGATAAAAGACAAAACCTACACAGTAAATAGACTAAATGAGGAGCAGAACAACTGTTGGGAAATATTATAGACAGAAATCCTCAAAGCTTTTCCTGCTGCAGTTAATGAGACAATTGAAGTGGAATTCACTAAAATAATCTATTGTTATAATACATCTATATATATATGTTGGTAAACAATGATCAAACTTAGAAATTTAGTTTCAACTTGCCACATGCTTATTTCTGCCGTTGACTATATAGTAACATTTACTTAGATTTAGTCAGAAAAAAACTGTGCAATATTAATGATCTGCTAAACTAACTCACAAAAAATTTCTCTACAGACAAGCACACTTAACATAAATTGTATGTATCTGAAGATTATTATATATTCTCAAACCCACCAAATTTTTCAATAGAGCTTTAAGAGAGGAATTAAAATCTGGTTAAGCACACATATATACAGGGTGCAATGGATAAATTGTCTAAATTATGCAAAAATGAAAATAACACTGACATCTCATTTTAACAGATATAGTTATCAAAATTACATTTTGAAATACTAATGAGTAAATTTATTCAATAAAATCGCCATTGGCTTCAACCACAGCCTTGAGACAACTTTGGAATCTTTTGCATCTCTTTTGGAGAGAGTTGAGTGAGAGGGGGTTGCAGTGTCGGTAGTTAAGTGGCCAGATGTAAGGAGTGATATGGCTGCAGAAATTGTCTGACAGCCATGATTAGGTTCTCCTGCTTGTATGCCATAGTGTAGAATCCTACTGCTGGACATAGGATCTTCCAGTAGCCACCCTCTTGACCCAGGTAAGCACTACTTCCTCAAGGCACTTTTTATAGGCCTCATGTTGAGTCTTGAGTCCTCGTGGAAAGATGAATGGAAGCATATTGTCACCATCACTAGTGATCACTCCAAACACCTTCATATTCACTATTAGACTCATCCAACTCGTTTCAAATCCTAAACTGGCCTTGAGTTGACACCCAAATATTCTGAAATGTTCGTATTTTTGCTTCTGGCTCAAATACCAAGCAGTACAGCCTGCTGTTTTTAAATTTCTGGCAGAGTGAATTGAGTCATGGTGCTCTTTTTCTCAACTGACCCTACTATACTGTGCAGTCAACAAAATCAAAAAACAAACAATGCACATGCAGGAAATTAAAAATATAAAATGGTGACAATTTACACATTGCATCCTGTATGTTATATATATATATATATATATATATATATATATATATATATATATATATATATATATTTAAACAAAAGTTTGATACCACAGAATTTGTATATTGCTTTAAATATGCAAAAACACATTCTTTAAAGGATATTTTTTTAACAAGCATCTGAGAAGAACAATACATTGATACCTTCTTAGATAAACAAAATGAAACAAATTTGCACAGTGAAACCCAAGTACATATAGGAGGGTTAAATGAGGAACCACAACTAAAATTGAAATTTATTACTAAAACAAAAAATTACTCACATCCATCCTAACAGAAACAGAGAATGAACAAAATTCTATTTCTGTCTACCCAGAGAAAATTGATTAACTTTATATACACTGCCTTCAAGATTCCTGAGTGTTTGGATGACTGTGCTTTGCATAAAATTGTAAATGCTGTATCCATGTACTTAACAGCACATCCTGGGTTATCTATCAAATGCTGCCCGATAGCTTACTCCCAAGCCATTTAAGTCAAGCATCTGCTGCTGTTTACAACACCTAATCTAATATTGGCAGGCATATATTGTCTATTCCATGTCTCAAAGCATTGATTGCTTCATCCTACATAGTCAGCCTTAAATTTCTAAACTATCAGAGTTTGAAGGTAGTGTAAACTTGTCCTTATTTTTTTTTTCTTTTTAATAATAATGATAATATTAGCCATTTTCCTACAAGGAAACATATGGTATTCATTGACTGAGAAGCTAGTATTGCTTTTGGGTGAAATTTTAAAAATCTTTCTCTTTAAATCAATTTTTCAGGAATATAGGATTCTCAAGCCCACTGTTGCCACTATTTCCAGTATTGATGGGAGTTTCCTTCCTAACCTTTTATTTGAAGTAGTGTGGAATGGCATCATCTTGATTATAATATTGTTTTCTCTTCAAGTTAAATGTGCTATCCATTTTAGCTGTTGCTACTGTTGGTATTCCTCAAGTGATGCGGTTTCTATTATTTGGTACAGTTCTTTGTTTGTGATTCTATAACACCAGTCCACAATGTTCAAAGAAGTATAGTCTCTACAAAAACTTACAGTCTTCACTCACTCAAAGCCATTTTTAACCACTGATCTTAGAAAGTGGTTGTATACAACTGATAGTTTAGATATTTCTGAATGGTTTTGGCATCATGCATGACATCCATATGAAAATCTCAATATGATGAGGTTATTTAAGAACATGACTTGAGTTTTCAGGTTGATTTTTTGGTTTTGTAACAGTTTGTACTGGTAGGTGAAACTACATCTGGCACAGCCGATTCTATGTTCGATTTCCTTTTCTCCTATACTTAATTTGTTATAACTGATCTATATGCCAAGTTATTTGAAGTGTTTAGTATTTACTAATTCCACATCCTGAATTTCCATGATAGATTCAGGGTAAGTACCATCACAGATTTCATTGCATTTCCAGATCATATTTTCTGTTTTGGAAAGGTTTATCTTGAGTCCCATTTCTTGGAACACTTGGTAGAGGAAGTTGATTTTCTATTCAAGATCACTCTTATCCTAATTATGAATACCTATGTCATCAGCATAGCCTCTCTCCCAAATATCAGTGTATTGGTCTATCTATTGATAGAATGGTTTAAGGGTTTTAATTTAAAAATTGCTCTTTTTATGACCTAAATAATTTCTGCTGTGGTGGTAGTTTATTTAACATTGTCCATTTTCCGGCTTTCAATATGCCTATAAGAACAAGAACTAACTTGTTTTCAACTGGAAAAGGAACTTTTGATTTTAGCTTGAAAAACAAATTGGGAAATAAAGAGTTTTCATTACACTTCAGTTGTTCTCAATGACAGAACTAACAACTCTCTCTACTTATTTATTTGAATTAAGTTTAAAAGCCTTTCTTATCAGAACTCCAGTAGGAAGTGAAATGACTCAAAAGTATAAATAAATAGATATATTTGAATATTAGGTGGGTGTATGATATAAAAAGTGGTTCTGTTCATTCAAGTAAGAAGAACATATCTGGTAAGATAGTCCAATCAGTTAAGACTACGATTATTAAATATAAGAATATCTAATTCGTTGAATTTCTTAGATTATTCAGAAAGTCTTTGGAACATTTTCTAAAACTAAATCAACCAAAGTTTATTTTTAAGATCTTATTGGAGATACAAAATTTAATCAATGCTATAAAAACAGACATATTTAAAAATAGAAAAGGAAATTGGAAAGAAAATACAGCCTACAGCCAATATAAATAGCAATGTGAACAAAAAAATTTCTATTATTTTTGTTTTATGACTGTATTTTCTTTCTTTTTATTCAATTTCCTCTTCTTTTTAAATGTGTGTTTTTATAGCATTGATTAAAATTTATTTTATTAAAAATAGTTTTCTTTGAGGCACTACTAAAAGCGTAAACAGCACAATGAATACAAAAAAAATTTTTGTTTTTTTTATTTTTTTTATTTGCTTAATTTTCCAGTTTTCAAATATTTAGGGCATTTGTTTCAACTACAGATTGCTGAGTTTATCTTAAAACTTTCTTTCATTAAATTAAAATTCTTATATTTTTTTAACATATTAATCTCAACTGAACATTCAAACAATAAACACTTTCAAATAAAACAGAACAAGAGAAAAATATTCCACAATAACTTTTTAATTAAGTAAATACTTACAAAATTATTGATAATATGAGAATAACTCTAAATTACAGAGAAAAATTAATCTAATTTTGCTACTGGTACAAGTTTTTAACACTTCCACTGTTGTGGGCATACTTATATCATTATGAAACTTATATTGCCTACTGTCAACATTCTGTGGGAATATCAGGTGCCGTAAGCTTGGGTGTGTGAGTGGCATAATGGATAATGGCTCAGAATTGTTAATTGGAGGGCTGAGTTTCAATTCCAGTCAGGCTTGTTATATTCACTTATGTGCAAATACTCTCGGGAAAGGTATGAACACATTTTTTCTCCTCCCAGCTATGGGTTAATTAGAAAGACTTGTATCACTAAATCATTATTATCTCCCCCAAAATTCTAACAATCTAAAAATATTTTCTGGCTTTAAATAATCTGTAAAAGGTTAATAAGCTGTAGAAAAGAGATCAATCAAAACCAATATTTTCAAAACACTGCAAAGTTTTGTTCCCTAGTGCTTAATTCATAAACTAATGAGCACTAATGAGTCCTATTTCTGAACCAACATAGACATGTAATAATGTATAATAACAACTTTTTATTATATTCTGTGTTGAGGGTATGAAAAGGGTGGCATCCATGAGTAAATTGTCTCTAGCATCTTTATAATTATTTATTTTCAAATGTTCTACATTTCCCAAAAATGAACCAGCACAATCAGACAACAATGCTATAACAATGCAGCAGTGAAATTTCATCTTAAATTTCTTCTGAACTGAACTATTGTCGATTAATTGTTACTAGTATTCCTTTCATGTTAAATTTGGCAGTTTTTATTGCAACCTTCCAGACTTTCATTCTATAATATAGTAGTCATAATATTACCTTAAGTTTACTATTACCAGTTTTGTCATTTATTTTTTATTACTATTTTATCTTAATTTCAGTTGCTTTTTATTGCAACTTCTCAGACCATCATAAAAGCAACTGAAATTAAGATGAAAGAAATATTGAAGAATTAATAATAAAGCTTTTAACTAGTTATTGTATCTTTTAAATTTTAAAAAAATCTGAGTTCTGTTAATAAAGCTGTGGACGTTCTCAAAAAGCAGATAGATTGTTTCTGGTATTAATTTTTTTTACTTTTTTGTCTGTAAATTCTAGCATTCTGAAGATTCTTGGTCTGAGGAAGAAGGAGAAGTCAGTGAGGATGATGTACGACAGACTAGAACCAGACAATCCTATTCCACATTAAGTTCTGAAGGAGCTTTTTCCGAAGAGGAGAACACCAGTGAACATTCCACAAGATACACTCCCGATGGTCTGTTATCAACTAACAGTTCTGAGAACTTACAGTTGGAATTGGCTCGATGTGTTTCAGATGAACTTTCTGATAAAGAAATGAAAATGAAACAAATGAAGAATCAGGTCTCTTTCTCTCCTGAACGGATTTTTGAGGTGAGTTTTTCTTCTTTGGGAAATTTTCTTTTAATGTTAAAACTTAAAGATATCTGCAGTTTTTAGACAAATCTTAATCATTCCAAGAGCCATTTGAACTATTGATCTCACTGTTTGTATCATAACTTTTTAACTGATTCATTTGTTTATCTTTTGTAGATGTATAATCTGAATAGAAAATGTGTTATTGTAATTTTGAGAAAAGTCATTGTCATTCTAACTGTTGTTTGGGACTATTGAATTCATTCATTTTGTTGCTATTGCACTATCCATTCTAAAGCCCAGGGTTGTCAGACTGAGCTACACAATCTTTTTTTTATAAGCAACTGAGAGTTTTGAATATTATTCAAGTTGCTTAAATCACTTATGCTTAGGTCAAATAAATAGAAAAGACATTCTACTGGTTTAGAAAAGACTAAGCCAGTAGAACTTATAGAATTATTCAATACATTATAAAATAATGTAATTAGTAACTCTTTTTTTAATTTTGCTTTTTTCTTTTTTTGTTTAAGTCACACTAACTTTAGTGGAGTTGGTTAAGATTTAGTCAAATTTCAGTACAGTTGATTATACACAAAAAATCATGCAATTTTGAAAGATTATTGCTACCTAATTTTCAATTTCACTATTTGAAGTATTTTTGGACTACTTTTAAAATATACTGAGTTAAGTTGGGGTACTAATGAGAAAAAATTCAATTTAAAATTTAGTAATTCTGATCTTTCAAATGTAGCTCAGTTTGCCACTTATAACACCGTATGACAACCATAAACAATCTTCAGATGAACAAGATATAGAGTAAATAACTTGTGAAATATATAAAAATGAGTCAAAATCAACCAGTTCTTGATTAAATGATTAATCATATTCTTTTTGTTATTACTACCATTTCTCTTCACGTTCAAATTGTTGGAGAGTATTATCTGGACAAAAAAAAAACACTCCTTTATATTTCTATATGGATTGTACTCTCATGGAAAACCAAAGAATGAAACAGGAAAATAGTAAAAAGAATGAAAACAATAGTCCCACTTACTCTTGTACTATTAGAAAAGAACTACTTATGACTAACTAAATGAGATAGAAAATAACAATTTTCCTTAAAGCTATGATTTTAAAATATTGTAAACATAACTCCCTCAAGGCAGGTTGATGGAGATGTATGTAATAATTTATAAAAGAAATGATTTTCTTTTTTAAAGTTTAATGTGTATATTTATTGTAAGCATTTGTGGACACCTTATAATCAGAGAAATTTTTTAAATTATTTCACCCCAAACAAGGCAATAAAAACCACTAGGATACAAGGGGTTACTAAAAGCATAAGAAATAAAAAGGACTATAGAATAACAAGATTCAAGGAGACAGAAGATGACAAATTACATTCCATTTAAAATTTTGAAAATCGTAGCAAAGCAGAAAGCCAAAAGAGAATTTTACAAGCAAAAAGTGTGAGAGAAGAAACGACTAGCATTGAACCTAGAGCTCCAGGTAGCAATTTTAACAGTAAAATGACGAGACCTAGCTTCCAATCTAGTACTGCACTTACATTCATGAAATTGAAAGCTCATCAGAACAATTACCATGAAAATACTCATAGAAGAGGCAAATGGAAAGTACAGTAGGAAAGTGACTAAAACTGACATACCAGGTTGAATGAATTTGATCCTTACTAAATGCCCCACACTTTTCTGATTTATAACACCCACAAAGCCAAACCGTGGTTTATACTGTAACAGGAACTAAACAGACATGACTTACAGTTTCTTGGAGAGAGCGCACAGTCTAGTTTGAGCAGTAGTTGAACAAACAATAATATGCTCAGACCCATGGTCATGGTTACTTGTGACTAGCACCATTATTGGCAACTTCCAGTATTGTCAACCCATGTTATGTTTTTCCAGGCAGCACTTAATGGTGCTGCATGCTGAAACTCATCATATATATATATATATATATATATATATATATATATATATATATATATATATATATATATATAAAAGTTTTTTGTGGTACACAATATAGCTAGGTAAAGGCAAATTTTATAAGACATTTTTTATACAAAATAGCTAAAAAAAAACAACTGGTTTCATTCCTGGACTTATCAAGTTTATTTTTTTTTGAATAGAAAATTTATAAAAAGCATGTAACTTAAATTAATGAATGGAATGGAAAAAAAAAAAAATTCCATTCCATTCATTCATTTAATTTACACGCTTTTATAAATTTTCTATTTCTTTTCTTGTTTAAAAATATGCCTTATAAATTTTGCCTTCTTCTAGCTAATATAGAACACAAGTACACATCAAGTGCTCAAGACCAGCTGCAATCTTCAGCTGAGTGCCATGCTTCAGCAAAGTTTCGTACCTCTCCACAGCTTATATATATATATATATATATATATATATATATACTTAACATGAAGGGTGTGTCAGGAAACTTACAGAAACTGCTCCACTCTTACCTGTCACATGAAAACCCACAAGAAAGCAGAACAGACTTTACAAAACAGGCCAGGCCTTGTACAAAACAACCTAGTTTGCTACATCTTTAATAAGCATTACAAGTTATTTGCAAGCTTCAAGAACCATTGTCATTCACTTGAGAAACTTGTCAGTTATGATCATATTCATTTAATAAGTGAACAGCCATTTTATATATACACACTCACATATAAAGGTTAATAAGTCAAAAAAAACAAATCATAGTATATACACTATACAGACACACACACACACAAATATGTTCTCATATGAAATTTTAATTTTTTATTGTTTTTTATAGTATTGTTTTTATAATAATGTGATTTTTGAAAGATTGCTTAATTATGTATGATATACATCATTAACTTACTTAATGAGCTGTATTTGGTTGGCAGATAAATTTGTTCATTTTTTCCAATATTATTTTACATATTTTTTGTAGTTCTATATTTCCTCTACAAATTCTGTTTATCATTTTATATTATGCACTGGACTATTATGCATTATCGGTCCTCGTATATGCTAGTGAATGCTGGACAATCTCAAAGATGCAAAAAAGACTTGAAGCAATAGAAATATTATTCTACAGAAGGATACTCAGAATAACATGGACTGAACATGTGAGCAACAACTAAGTTTTAGGGAAAATGGAAACAAAATGGACACTTATACTTAGAATCAGAAAAATCAGTTGAAGTTTCTGGGGCACATCATGACGAAAGAGGGCTTAGAAAATTGTACACTAACAGGACATATTGAAGGCAAGAGGAAGAGATGAAAATGGCACATAACCTACCTTTACTAAGAGCTACAAAGGGCATGAAGTTGTGAATAAGCATGATCACCCACATCATATAGAAGATGATTATTGACTGATTTGTTAAAATTGTTGATGAATCATAGGATGAAATAATAGAAAAAATGAACAAATTTATCTGATAATCCAATATATGATAAGTACATTAATCTATTTAATATTTATCTTTACTTGTTATTGCAGGCCCACAATTCGGATTCTAGTTCAGATTCTGATGAATGCTCTGACATTACTGTCTCTACAACAGTCCATCGTTCTCGGTCTTTTGAGACAAGTGGTTGGTAGACACTTGACTTTAATACAGCTGTTCCAAAAAGGATGCCACATGAAAGAATATAGGCCAACAAAGTGGAAGCTGAAGAATTTTATGTTCTTGAAAATTTGTTATGCAAGCAGATCAATGTCTAATAAGAGGATTTCTTTTCTTTTTTTTTCTGTTCTTTGTTCTCTGTCTCCACTTGGCCACAGACTGAAAAGTTATGGCATATAGAACAACAGCAAACACATAAAGGATAGTCGTTCCTGCTACACATTCACCAATTAAGGAATGATAAAAATATTAAAGACGGATTCTGTATGGCAGAGCATTGGCTTGATACTAAATGCTTGCAGTCATAGTTCTGTCCTCAAATCATCACTCACTGATCTCTTATTGATTGATCTTATTGTATTGATTATAGTCTAGTCTCCTGGACCCCCAGAGGACCCAAACACCCACCCATCCCAACAAGACAGGACCAAGTCAACACTCCCCTGTTTCCACCTACAGCTGAGACTTCATCTATGACTCCAACTTGGTTTTGTATATAAATGGACAAATCATAAACTCTTCCATAGAAGAGTATTTATTTGGAAACAAAGAAAAATATAGCTTTATATAAAAACATTCAGTACTGAATTTACTTAAGAATATATATATGTGTGTGTGTATATATATATATATATATATATATACACACACATATATATATAGGCATACATATATGTGTGTAAAAATATATACATTGATTCTAAATGTACATACATACATACATTTACATTAGTCTCAGTTCGTGTGTGCATGTGTGTACATATGTATAGATATATGTGTGTGCATTTTTATGTTTATGTGTGTATGTATGTATTTATATGGATATGTTGTGCATTGTATAAATACTGGACACGTTTTTACACTCCTCTCTCTCTCTCTCTCTTACTTACAACCACCCCACCCCACTCCACCCTTTGCCCAGGTAAAATGTGTTCACTGTTTCAAAGAATTCAGGGAAAAAGTACTGAAAAACAATTGGAATAGGAATCATGTCTTATGATTTCCTTACCATTATCTTCTATTTCCCCCTCCCCCATAGCACCCCAACCCAGACCAGATGGTTTTTATTTGTTTGTGTTGTTTTTTTTTTACCATTCTGAAAATGGTACTTAACAACTGGTTACTAATGTGAAAATGTCTTTAACTGAAAAAGACAGTGTGTGCATTAATATATTAGTATGTGTGTGTGTGTGTATATATATATATATATATATATATATATATATATATATATACACACACACACACACACATATTCACACAACTTCATACATTGCACACTTATGCATGCACAGGTGCAAGAAGATGGATGGATGGATGAGTCTAAACTAACGGTGGATAAAATACTTGTCAAAACAAATGATAACAATGATATTAGAAAAAAAATAAAAAAAAAATATCCAAGCTTCTTTATTGAAGAAGTATCTATAAAATATTGTGATGCTGTCTCTCTGGCCAAGATCTCATCAAATTGATTGATTCAAGTGCCCCAACTTATAAGATTGACTTTCAAGTCAAATTTGTGGAAACAAACTCTGTATCACATCTTTTCTTTTATTGTGTGTTTTTTTTTTTTTTTTTTTCATTTTTGCAGAGTTTATTGCCTTTGGACAAAAAAAAAAAAATTCATAACAAAATGAAACAAAAAAAAACTGTATCCAAGACAAAGAAAAAAAACTTCCAAAGAAATGTAAAATTGACTTTTTCCACAAAAAAATGTTCAGTGTGCATATATATATATATATATATATATATATATATATATATATACACATACACACACACATATATATATATATATATATATATATATATATAATAACACAAATTTCCTTATTTGCCAGTTATAGACAACTATCACTAAAGTGTTGAAAAAGAAATCTACAGACTCAAAAAGTTTTTGTTGAATTTTTCATAATTTTTCTCCATTATTTTTTAAAATGTTTATTTTATTTTTATTTATTTATTCCATTTTTTTTCTTTCATTTTCATTTTTCACATCAGTATGTCTATCTTCATGAATCATTTTAAGCAAATAAAGTTCCACTTAACTAGACACTTGTGACTGTGTCAACAAATGGAAACACTATGGAATATACTCTAATATTTTATTATGTAGATTCTTTGACTGAGCCTTTCTTAATTCATGTGGATCCAGGGGCTCTGTTATGGCGTTATTCATTGTTGTCACCAACATGGCTAATGAATGGTTTGCTATGTTATGTGTCCATTCATGACAGTGCCTACATATTGCTGGAAACAGAATTTTCAACAGAAATTTCTTGTCATTACTGGAAGATATCAATTGTAGATGAAATCAAGCTTTGTAGAAAAGAGAAAAGCGAAAAAGAAAAAGCAGAAAACACCCAGCCCTATTTCCTCACTTGTCCCCCAAAACCAAACTACAGTGATCCTATATAGTCCTACCTACACTGGTAATCAGTATGGCTATTAGTGCCCTCTGCTGAAAGAGAGATCACAAATTCTTTAGACACCTGGTATGTTATTTACCAATCTGATATCTGTTGTGAGATTGTCTTATGTAATAATAAGGTCTGTTTGTCAGATGCATATTTTTGGGTAATTTTTTTTTTCTTTTCCCCCCTTCCCACAACCCCAACATAAAATTTATCTCTGAATAAAAGAAAGAAAGAGAGAAAAAAAAAAGGATAAAACTTGCAAAGACTTGAAAGAAAAAAACAAAACAAAAATATATTTCTAAAGCTGGTATAGTGAGCAAAATCAATTACTGTATTTATGAACTTGTCATCATGTCTTCTCTCTATTCTCTATCTGTCCGTCACACAAACTCTCTCTCTCTCTCTCTCTCTTGTTTACTGTAAATTATCACTGGATATTGAACAGTTCAATAACGATTTTTGATAGAACCTAAGAAAAATGTTCTATTATATACATTCCATTTATCACTTCCTGTTGTTTTTTTATTCCTCAACTTTTAACCTGATGATGGCCTTTAAAAAAAAAAGAAAAGAAAAGAAAAATGACTTAAATGCATTTCTTTTATCACTTCTGTCAAACATTTGACTTACTATGTGTAGTCGATGATATTTTTTAGCACTTTTCTCTTGCATTAACTGTCTCTCAATACATTTCCTTCCATTCTTGAAAGGAAGTAATATACATACTTATATAAATTTTTAAAATGTCAATAACCTTCTTTTTTTTTTTAATATGAATGAAATAATATTTCAATTTTCATGTTTTTTCACTTAATAGTAGCATGTTTGAAAAAGAGACAACTATGTTAATAATTTTATAAGTTTAATTTGTTTTTATTTTAAATTAAATATTTATTTTAAAGCCAAATACAGATTGACAGCTTGAAAGGGGAATCATGCCAGTATAAGTACCTAAATAACCATATGTACGTACTCTACCTGCCTCTCTTGTTGAATGAAAAATGATCTATCATTATTGTTATCATAAGATGTGTCTAAGTGTTTTGTTTTTTTTTATATTAGTTAAAGACTATAGATTTGCATCCTTGTCTTGTTGCTTAGGAACTTAAAAAATGATGTTTTAGTCTCTGGAGTTCACTTACTACATAGACAAATCAGTAATAAAGTTTTGAAACTGATGTTTAGTTCAACTTTTAAGACCAGATTCCTTTCCTGATGCCACAACAGCCTTATGAGGAATATAAAAATGCCAATTACAACTGGAGTGGACTGCCTCTGGATTTTTCTTTTTCTAGCCTAGTATTGACCTAAAGTGGAAAAATATTCAGAGAAATTCAAACTAAGTTTTTTAAAAAAATGATTTTTTCATACATTTTCAATTCTGAACTAAATTCATGTTGAAACATTTTTTTTTAAATAATTTCATTACAACATAGACATTATTTTCTGGCCTATAAGATGTTTCCAAACGTATTTGGGGGACTGCTACTTACTGCAAATCATTCAAGCCTCACAAATGTCCATTTTCAGCTTTGGTAGACAATCCTCCGAGTCATAATACCAGCACATTGTTCACCATATAATATTTGCATTTTTTTTCTAAATTTAAATTTGCATCTTATATGCTGTCAAATATGGTAATGTTTTGTTTTTTTAATTTCATTGGAAACAAATGTTCAGTAGCTTATGCATATGAAATCAGCTAACCTCTTTATTTTTTGTTTCATTTCAAACCAAAACAAAATTTAATGGTGATAAAAGAAAAAAAAATATGTGTATCAATAATGAGAATAAAAAAGAACTTGAAGTATCAATAACATTTTCAGAATATTAAAAAATAAATTCATTTTAGATTTGAAATAATATTTAAACAAATTTCCTTCTCTCCCAAAAGAGATTTTAATAAAAAAAACTATTCCGCTTTTATTTATTCACTATTTTTTTTTATTTATATTTTAGGGCAAATTAATAAGTACATTCAGGTTGCATGACAATTTTTTTACCAATTTTTTATCTCTTTACAATTTCTGAAAAAAGAGGACAAAATATTGAAAAATTTTAAAAGCAAACCTTCAATTTTTTTTTAACCTTACTTGTCTGTTAGTTATTTGAAATATGGCTTCCAGACAAAATTTTTTGACTTTATCTTCTGAATTTTAAGCAAAATCTAATTTTAAATTAAGAAAAAAAATACAAAAGAAACCAAAGTTTCTTAGAAAATGTCAGCAACCTGAAGGAATCATTTATTGTAAAAGAAACATGTTATGTTCAAGCCGACATTGTTGTTTCTATTAAAATTCATTTTCTCCCAGATATAATCTCTCCACATTTCCAGGCTAATGAAGGCCCATACAAATAAAGAGAAAAAAAAATTCCAATTCTGAAAATTCATCCATTATTATTTTCTTTCTTTCTTGCATTATATTGTGGATTCAAGAATGCTACTGCACATATAGGTGGGAAAGAAAGAAAAATTATAATTGGTAAGTAAGGATTATAAAAAGTTGTACTTTTATTTTTTATTTTAACAATTTCATTGAAGCTTTTTAAAAATC